TAAAGCCAAACACAGTGGAGTATGGAGAGAAATAAATAATCGCTATTATTATTGTTGATATGCTCACTAACCTAACATTTCACACGTCTTTTTACTTTGTTTGACTCGCATATTTTGCTTTCGCTTGGCTTCGCTAGACAGGCAGATATCAGTAAACGAATCGGGTATTTCCGAATCAAATACTCGAAAATATAAACAAACACTGAGATAATAATGAGCAACATAAGTACCGCTATACATGACGAGTTAAAAATAGAAATTATTATATTCACTTTCTTCAGAGAAAGTGATCAAAGTGTATTCACCATATGTGTTTGGTGCTGTTTTTGCCTGAAGCGAATATTTTACTTGGTACAATAATGTAGATATTTAGTCTATAATTTGCATTCCAGGAATCATTGAAACCATTCACAGAAGTCTATTCAGAAGTTTTTATAGGTATCTACGCACGTTTTTTTTTTAATTTGCCCTAATGATCTGCATTAGTAATTTGATTGTAATTCTTTCGAAGTTTCAAGTGAATATTATTCGATGTTCAATTGATTATGATTACGGATTATGCCATCTAAACATACCATGAAAAACGAATCAATTAAAGATAGGCACCATCATTGAAAAAAAATCAGTAATATGACCTTCACGAAAACAATAATTACCTATACACTGAAAGAATAATTAGGCAATGATACTAATGCAAACGGAATAAAATGTAGTACCACGGTCAATGTTAGTAGGTGACTGCCAGCAAAACCTAGTATCTCCACCTTATTACAAGGTGATTTCTATGGAACTTGACCGAATTTCTACAAATCTATCCGAAAAAGGTCACACCAAAGCTACATCATCGTTTCGTAATATTATGTCTTGTATAAGTACCCACATCGGCTGAGCGAATGAATTTCAAGTTCACTCGATATAGTAGGCGTATACAAAATGAAAAAAAGAACGCGAATGTTATTCGTTCTTGAGTTGTTCATAGAATACGAGGGATGTATTAATCATTTCGACCTCATTTTCACATATCAGAGTCATTCTCCTTCACTGTTCGCAATAGAGGCATCGAAAAATAAATCATGAAATATTTTCGATAATTTCAAATTTGTCGTAAATCATTGTACAATATGTTCTCAAGAAATGTGCTTCCGAACTAACCTGTTCTCTGCAAGTTGTTCAAGTGCTCTTACAAATTGGGGATCGAATCGGGATTCAATCACTTGGTAGATTTCATTGCAAACAGAACACAAGCATGCCTTTTCTCTGAAAAAGCCGATCTCACTGTGCCCAACATAAGCTTGTCAGGAGTAACCATACCTTTGAAGACATCTGTTTCGATGCTTGGTATTACTATCCAGTCAGCTGCTTATGATCTATAACGCACAGATCCGACCTGTCCTGGAATACTGTTTCCATATTTGGAGTGCAGCACCCGAACATAACCTGAAACTGTTGGATTCTGCCCAAAGAAGGGCAATTCGTCTCGTTCACAAACTCACTCACTTCTCGTAAAAAAGTTGGCGATCTGGCTCTATTTTATAGATATTTTCATGGACGATGCTTTTCGGAAATATCAACAATTGCTCCTCCCTTGATAGTCCCCGCGAGATTAACCTTTCGAGTTGAGGCTTCGCACCTCTTCGTGGTCACTTCGGAAACCTGCAGAACATCTCTTTCCAAAGACTCGTTCATCCAACGAACAGCGAGGCTCTGGAACACATTGCCAAGGGAGGTGTTTCCCGAGGCATATAACCTCCAGAAATTCAAGAAGAGCACCAATTCCTACCTTATTTCCCTTGGTTCTTACGATGTTCTCTGAACATTACAGGATATCCATGTTCGTGGTTACCAGAACATAAAAAAATATCGATAAAACGACCAACATTAGTGTTCCTTAATTTTCCCGTAGAACGTTTTAAGGAAAAATTTTCATCATCCTGTCCACTTTTTTCGATATGGATTTCATGATGGGAGCACCTCCCCATAGTAGAACGTAATTTTGGCTGGGCATCCAATAGAACTGAATAGTTCATTCTCTTATACCTATTAGACTACTGCTTTGTAGCAGATATACCATCAGTATCATTCGTAAATCTTTTGTCAGTTGACCTATAGTGCAACTGATGAGGCTCGGCAAGGCGAAACAGCCTGTCATGCATCGATTCACGAAAATCCATACAAGAGTTTGTTTTTTATTGACTTTCCACAGGTAATCCTTCAGGTTGGGAAAGTAGGATATATAAAAGTAAGGCAAGCCAAGGTTAGTTTATTTCATTGTGCCAGAATTCCACCTGATGAAGCTACTGTGTTAGCGGAACATGTCATGTGCTTAAGAATTTTGTGGAAATCTTATCGTTTGTGAAGTTTTTACATTTGAGAGGCATTTGTCTATATCTACTTGTTTTTTCTGGTTCGCCGTGTACATGCGATTCGATGCAGATAAACGAAAGTATCCGTTTTGACCTTTATGAACCGAATATCTGTTGGAAATTGGGTCAAGTTTGTATCGAAAATTCGTCGGCTACCAACATTGACCCTGGCACTACATTTTATGCGAATGTAATTTCGACATTTTTTGGCGATTAAATTCTGCGTGTAGGTAGTTGAGTGAAATGCATACAGAGTGGAGATTGGCGTTTGAGTCCAAGTCCACTTAATTTGATTTTTTTTTATTTTAATTTGGATCAATATACAGTGATGTGTGTGAAGTATACACAAGGTGTATCTAATTTACACGAAAAAAAAACAAGGGGTGATTTCTTGTGATATTTTAGGAAATAAAGTTCATATAGACATGTGTCGAAACTTGCTTCGTTTTCGAGATACAGGGTATTAATATTTCCATGAAAAATATTTTTTCTATTCACCTCTCAATTGTCTTTTCATCAATTTCAATGAAATGTTGTGGTTTCGTTAATAGTAATATGGAGCTTCTTCTAGTGCAATTGGATTCGAAATAATATTTCCAGTGGCGTCACAGTGGGTAAATTTATCGATATTCATGGTACACCACCGCGGTTTTTCTGAGTTTCATATTTTTATTAGATTGAACAATTGAAATAACAACTTTTTAATCCTATGTGTGATTTTTGAGGAAACAATAAAAATTCGATTCGACTCCAAATTTTAATGTAGGTGTTTTCAAGACTTCCATTGAGATTACTCAATAACCCCAATCAGTCTCATTTTGAAATTTTGGGGCTTTCTCAGGCTCCATGCTGAATTTCGGTACAATGAGAGCTTATACAGGGGGAGTTATAAATAAAAACAATTAATACTTTCACCTTCAACATCCTGTATCTCAAAAACGGAGCAAGTTGGGACATATGCTTGTATGACGCATGTTTATATGATTTGCTAGAATGTCACAGGGAAACACCCCTTGAATTTTTTCGGTTTTATTTAGCTACACCCTGTATATTATTGATGGTTTATCAGATGATAAACTCTTCAGCAGAAAATGGAACTGTGCGAAATATAAGATGTTGAGGTTGAAAATGGAAAATAATTCTCATTGAATTAAACAAAAATGCTTGATATTCTGTTGCATAACTCAGAACAGAGTAGCATTATTCAGTCAATCTGAGTCCCAGTAGCACCGTTGAGTGGTATCGATGTGTGAGATTTTTCAGAAAAAAACATGGGTGGCGATGAAACTTCGAAATTCTGAATAATCACGGCCAGCAATAGTTTTTTGTCTAACAAAACGATATTGCTTAGCTTCATTTGATTACTGAGCCAAACACAGTGGAGTATGGAGAGAAATAAATAATCGCTATTATTATTGTCGATATGCTCACGAACCTAACATTTTCCACGTATTTTTTTTATACCTGGCACTGGCGCGGTATTTGCTATTAGAGATGACAACAGGTCCAGACACAAATGGGTCAGTCTGTGGTTGTATTTATATTGAAACTACAATTCGAACATCCTTGAAAATTTAATAAACCTGATCTGCAAATGCAGGGTGAAGATTCTCACCACACGGATTATTTGTTGCATTGCATACATATGGCACGGCATTGGTGGTTACTTCACATATTTATTTTTTCCTCCGATTGGCAGCAAATATTAATTTTGCTGACACATATCAATCAGCAAAGTATTACTTTTCCTGCCTAGGAAGGTGTAAGTATACTTCCAAGTCGCTATCACTGTCCATTATATAATTATTTAAATATACCGATATTTTTTCGCACAACTGTCAGAAATTTCATGAATTGTCAAACCAACAACTGCTATTTCTATCAAATTTTATTTTAATTGAACACTATACAGGAAGAATAAAGAGATTGTGGGAATTGTATTAATTCGCAAATATAATATTCTCCCATATCATTATGAACAATCGGAGAAAAAATTATATGTTCAACTCGGCAGCAAAGTAGATTGACTGCCTTAGCTGGATCCCTAGCCTCGCTACGCTCGGCTATGAATTCAGCCACGGCAGTCAATCTACTACTTTGCTGCCTAGTTAAACAAATAACTATAGTTAATTTTTTCGGTTGCAGAAAAAAATAATCTTTCGCCCTGTATTTGTCCATTTAGAACTATTGTATTCTCTCAAAATTCATAATGAATTATTCAGGTTCAGGGGTGCCTCATTTCCGATGAAGTAAATTTTGGTGAATGGATATACGCCAAAATTGGCGCCTTCGCCAGTTTGGAAAGTTTGCTATGGAGTTTTTTAGAATTCCTGAAACAGTACCGAACCGATTTCTCTTGAATTTTCCTCTTCATTCAAAATTTGAGAATAGTTTGTGCTTGTCCTGAAACCACAGGACATAGCAAAAAACAATTAATTCATTATGAACCTTTAGTATACGTATATGAGAATTGAAGAACCTCATGATGTAGGATTGAAGTAACATAAAAATTGTAAACCTAGCCTGAACCCATTCCAACCATTCAATAAGATTTGAATATAATATCTGATGAATTCATATTTGATGATGATAGGAATGGTTACCTAACATAACCTCACCTAACCTAAAATGACCTACCTTAATCCTTAATCTTTCCTTGATACACTTCTGTAGCAACGCTAAAGGTCCTTCCATTTGCTCCATTTTGGACCAGAGATTCTTCACCTTCCTCACTCGTATATTCCTGACAGGAACTATAACAAAATATTCAGTTCTCAATATCACACATCAGAGTGAATCGAGAATACAACTACCAGACTGAATTCGAGAAAAAAGTTTCTTTCAACCTTTTTTCTATATACAGGGTGTTTCATCGGAAGAAGAACATATATACGCCAACAGTAGATAGAGGATGGAAGAGCAAGCTCTGCTATGAATTTTTCATGCGCAGATATTGAATTCGGCCTTTTGTTAGGTTCTCTGTACTTTGTATACAGGGTGATCCACGGTGGATGGCCTATTAGAAGTATCTGGAGAACGAAGAGACAGAACATTCTGAAAATTGGGATGCTTTGATAATTGGACATTCTCTATCAGTCTAAATTATTTTCATCGATACAGTGTTGCCACTTTTATCAGAAACAACTAGCAACTTTGTTATTTCAAATGGAACACCCTGTATTTTATTGCATTTTTAGATTCTTCCTGGAAAGCTGATTGCATCAATGTGGGTCACTTGGGGTCTAGCAAAAATGATTACAGAGATATAGGGTGTTCTAAATCGAGATTTTTCAATTTTAGGATTTTTTTGTGTCGAAACTATTCATTATCGATCAAAATGGCTCACATGTCCCTATCTTAACTTTTGATTCACTATCTACTGGAATTTAATTGGAAAAAATACAGGGTGCTTCAAGATTCAGAATTCTGATCACCCTGTATCTGTTCCAATTAAATGTCAGTAGATAGTGAATCGAAAGTTAAGATTGGGACATGTAAGCCATTTTGATCGATAATGAATAGTTTCGACAGAAAAAAATCCTAAAATTGAAAAATCTCGATTTCGAACACCCTATATCTCTGTATTCATTCCTGATAGACCCAAAGTGTGAGACATCGATGAAATCAGCTCTTCAGGAAGAATCTGAAAATGCAATAAAATACAGGGTGCTCCATTTAAAATAACGAAGTTGCTAGTTGTTTCTGATAGAAGTGGCAACACTGTATCGATGAAAATATTTTAGAGGGATAGAAAATATTCAATTATCAAAGCATTTCAATTTTCAGACTGTTCTGTCTTTTCGTTCTCCAGATACTTCTAATAGGCCATCCACCGTGGACCACCCTGTATAACCTCTCAATGATATTTATTATTATTATTATTATTATCAAACAGACATATAGGGTGTTTTTACCGATTATACTCAGTTCGAAGCGACTAACGAAGTAACCGAGGTATCAAAAAATTTGCTTTCAAAATCAAAAAGATCGCAGGCTTACGAATGTATATGCAATAATCATTCAAAAATTGTATATATTGAAAAAACACATACTTTGAGTTGGAATAATACACTGCTTTATCTGACTGATCATTTATACACCTCTCAAATATACGGATGCGAATTATTGAAAGTCGTACAGGGTATTGTTACGATCAACAGTTTATTGAAATTTTTCAAATTTGGACTTGGATTTTTTTCTGACTGATGGTGTTTTAGTTCTTCGAGTAGTAGATGAAATATCAGAAATATATATGGTTCTTTGGTTTCAATTCAGAAAATACGGTATATACAGAATTATCTCTATCTACTGTTGACGTATCTTTCATGCCCAAATGAAACAAACTGTATGAATTGCTTCGTTCAAGTTTCCGAACGTTTGATCCTGAACAACTGACTCACCCTGTACAATAAATAATTATGTACAGGGTGATTGACTATGGATTTCTCGACTTCAACAGCTGATATCTCAAAAACGGAAAAAGATATTTGAAATTTGGAGAAAGGTACTTGGATGAGATGTCATTTTCTTCTAGAAAATGTGTTCTCTGCTTGATTTTATCATTTCATATACAGGGTTCGTGAAAAAATTTTTTTTTTCATATGGAACCCCCTGTATATTATCGCATATTTCGAAAGAGCTATCTTTCCTGATTTCAAAGATATATACTTTTCATATATTCTATCGAGGGCTTGACGGAACATCAGCAAAATTAAATATTAATATTTGGTCCAAGTTAGCTATGGTTGAAATAGAATGAGATGATGAATAAGTGAATTGACATTTGGCCAACATTCCAGTGACATAAGTGCGCAAAATTTCGACAATTTTCTCACGATGCTATATCCACTGGAACAAAGAAGAGATATTTTGGAGTGCCATTTTTCAGTTAATAAAAATCTTGCTGCAACACTTACACTTATACTTACTTAAATTTAATCTTTTAGATATGACAAGACAAAATTCAATCCGCTTCTCATTATCATCATAATTGAGTTTGTGGCATGGTCTAATTCTGAAATCCCTATATTTATATTTCCTTAAGGTATGTTGAACAAAATAATAGCTGAAACCAAACTCTCTCACTGCATTTCTTATTGACCGTGAAGGATCCTCAACAAAATACTGGATTACAAGAAGTTCCTCGTCTTCGTTGTCTTGCCTTCAAACTATTCTCTTGATATTCGACAAACTGGGAGTTCTGTCAAATTAAGCAGCCAAATACTTTACATAATTCTTACTTGGTAATCTCCTGCCTGGATAACTCCTCATAAACTTATGAAGTGTTTCAGCAAGATTTTTATTAACTGAAAAATAGCACTCCAAAATATCTCTCCTTTGTTTCAGTGGATATGGCATCGTGGAAGAATTATCGAAATTTTGCGCACCTATGTCAGTGAAATGTTGACCAAATGTCAATTCACTCATTCATCATCTCATTCTATTTCAACCATATAGCTATAACTTGGACCAAATATTAATATTTAATTTTGCTGATATTTCGTCAAGCACTCGATAGAATATATGAAAAGTATATATCTTTGAAATCAGGAAAGATAGCTCTTTCGAAATATGCGATGATATACAGGGGGTTTCATTTGAAAAAAAAAATGTTTTCCACATACCCTGTATATGAAATGATAAAATCAAGCAGAGAACACATTTTCCAGAAGGAAATGACATCTCATTCAAGTAACTTTTTCCAAATTTCAAATATCTTTTTTCGTTTTCGAAATATCAGCTGTTGAAGTCGAGAAATCCATAGTCAATCACCCTGTACCTACTTCAATTTTGTTTTCAGAATGCAAACGTTCAACGAATATTATGATGCTATAACGAGTGTAAATACTAGGACAACGTCTATTTATGATACCTCAAAGATACATTAAGTATGCGTCAATCAAACTTGTTTCTGACTATAGAATATTTTGGCACCATGCAATCATCAATCTTGCTTGTCGTTTAATTATCAACGCGAAATTTAACTACTTATTTTATTTTAGTCTACATGAACATCGGATTGTTGACGTTTCTCATGACTATATGGCCTTCATTTTACTTGATTTTTTGGGATTTTCTCTCCTCGTTTCTATAAAATAATCAACTGAACAGGAAGCAATGCTATTGTCTCCGTTCAGAAGAATGCAAGCGGATTCCTTGATTTTTCTTTTTTGGTTATCTTCTTTTCCTATGATATAGATAGATAGAATAAAAAAAACAGAACATGGTATTCACTACTGAAAACTGGTATTTTGGTGCAAAACATCTGATTTGTCCCACTACAAATATAATGAAATAATACGCATATTTTTATTTTATAGAAACGAGGAGAGAAAATCCCAAAATATCGAGTAAAATGAATGTACCTACCACCTCCTCAATTAACCTACAGACAGTATTTACTATACGGCCTTCTCATCAGTGTTTTTTAACTTAATCAATCGAATGATTATGAAACATTTCAAGACAGAAGTAACACAATAGTTATTTTTGTATCTAGAGCGCGAAATGCTACTTTGGTGATCGAGATCTGATTTTTTTAACTCGGCTACGCCTCGTTAAAAAAATCAGATCTCGATCACCAAAGTATTCCGCGCTCGAGTTGCAAACAACATTTTTTCTACAAACGTAACCCCTATCCTCCCTAGGTTCGCACGATGTTCCGCGAACATAATAGGAATTTCCTTTCGTGCGCTCCAAGAGATAAAACAAAGCTATTGTTGAACATTCGGAAATAAATGATTTCGTGGATGTTTGCTCGATTGAGGACCATGAAGTTGAAATATAAATATCTCATATATTTTACATAACAATGCGCGAAGTAGGTACTTCGCGCACTGTTTTACTTCGCGCATTGTTTTGTGCAAGGTATCAAGGTAACGTAGGAAACTGAAAAAAAGTGTCAGTTCGCAATTTGTTATCAATGTGCGAACCTTGTCATTTTTTGACGTTCGTAGAAAAAATCATTTAAACCTTCATAATAAAAGTTAGGAACAGAAGAAACAACTCTATTGCAGTACTATAACAGAGTTCTAATACAACTTCATCACCACAACATTGTTTCCCTACTACAATACATTGACCTTTTATTAACTTATGATTGGATTGATTGCTTCATGAAATACTGTTGACATACAGGGTGTTACAATATACAGAGTAGGTTGAATTAGACAAAGATGAGTATCTCCATACCTTTCATAAACGATTTTTTCATTGAAGAAAACATTTCAAGTAATGTTTTGATACACCATCATATCAAGTTTTTTTTTTATGTTCTGGTTCTCACGAAAAGGGATATCCTGTAATGTTCAGAGAACATCGTGAGAACCAAGGGAAATAAGGTAGGAATTGGTGTTCTTCTTGAATTTTCAGAGGTTATATGCCTTGGGGAATACCTCCCTCCCTTGGCAATGTGTTCCAGAGCCTCGCTGTTCGTTGAATGAACGAGTCTTTGGAAAGAGATGTTCTGCAGGTCACCAAAGTGACCACAAAGGGGTGCGAAGCCACAACTCAAAGGGTTAATCTCGCGGGGAATGCCAAGGGAGAAACAATTGTTGATACTTCAGAAGAGCATCGTCCATGAAGATATCTATAAAAAAGAGCCAGATCGCCAACTTTTCTAAGGTGTTCCAGAAAAGTGAGTAAGTTTGTGAGCGAGGCATCACCCACGAGATGAATTGCCCTCTTTTGGACAGAATCCATCAGTTTCAGGGTATGTTTGGGTGCTGCACTCCAAATATGGGAACAGTATTCC